CTCTTTCCTCAAATCCCTAGGGGAGAGCAGTCCTTCTGACAGTGGAGGATAGGGAGTGGTCTTCAGGCTCCAGCTGCCTCACTTACCAGATCTCCATCCCTCATCTCCAGTGGGCTGGATGCTCCACCTACCTCAGATCCTAGCCATACCACCTTCCCGGTTCAGCTGGCAGCTCTGAATGGACTAGGGGTATGGGGAGAGAAGCCATTTGATTCACATTGAGGAAGGAAGCAATGTCAAGTGCTGGACAGACTAGAACAAAGAGGAAGAACTGTCTACCTCCTTGAATAGCTTTCTCTGTGGGGAAATGTAAAGGCAGGGCTCTCACCAAGGGCAAGGGGGAGAGCCAATACTCACAGGGAACATTTTAAATTCTCAGGTCCCCAGGGCCCATCTCTGGGGGGCAGGGAGGCCCAGACTATCCTGCAGGATGGCAGAGCCCTGTTAGTATTTCTGGGGGACATCTGGCACAGTGACTGGGATGCAGATACTTGCAGTTCAGGCAAATGGCCATGGTGGCATCTGCTGCACCTGCCTGGAATTGGGGGCTGTGGACTGGTTTTCTCAGCCCCCCCTCCATGGCCCATACGTGCCAGGCCTGGCCAGGCTGTCTCAGGTGATACTGGACTGATGAGCAGAGTAGTCCCAAGGTAAGTGTCTGGGAGACAGGTGGGAGAGGGCACAGAATGTCTGGGAGGGGGAAAAATGACTAGGAACGGGCAGAGTAGCAGGTAGGATTTGAGGATTAGGTGTGTCATGGACATTAATGACCCTGACCATCTCTGTGAGGCCCACTTCCGTCCTTTCTCCCACCCTGTGGTCAACCCCTGGCAAGTCCCTCAACCAGGAATACAGGATTGCATGTGGAGGAACAAAGACTGGCATTCAGCAGGTCCCCTGGTCCCAGGCTAAGGATTATGTCCTGCAATCCTGAGAGCTTTGCACTATGTCTATTTGTACCAACCAGTCCTGCAGAAATGAAGCTTCTTCCAAATGGCTCACAAAATTCTGACCAAAGCAGCCATTCCTCCTTCATCATCTGGCATTCTATGGAAACTTCTCTGTGAACTCCATGATTTATTTCCCGTCTCCTCAACCAGGTGCTGTACTCCCTCCATGCCCTCCAGTCCAAACCACCCTGCCCACTGCACCACTACATATGGATCTCCTCCTTCTTCCATTTTCTGCAGCTCCTGCCTAAGGATCTCCCTGCCTGTCTTCCCAGGTGACTCCTGCCAGTGTCCCTCTCACAAGTCTCCCCTTGTGCATCTTCTCCCCTTGGTGACAGCATTGGGGGCTAAATATGCTGGCTCTCTTCAACGGGCTCATGATGTTTTTGAGACCTATACTAGGGGATGAGGGGTGGCCACTGGGAAAGTTTCAACTGGAACATTACTTCAGATCTGGGATCTGAAAACTGCACAGGACCACCAGGCCAGATGGCTATTGGGGAGTCCCTCACCAGTCCCTAACTCTAGAGGGGAGTCCCTCACTTCCTGGGGAAAGGTCTTAAGGTCCCAGGGAATCTGCAGGGGGCCCAGTGACTGCTTATGCCTTGGGGCACTTACTGTGAAGCAGGGACCTTCTCACACATGTGCAGCTGGTCACATGTGACACTTATTCCCACCTGGGGCAATGTACCTGCTGGCAAGGGGCATGTCCCCAGCAGTGCTCTGGATGAGAAGCCAGCATGTGATTCCCAACGAAGGCTGTGAGGCTATAAATATAGGAGGGAGCAACTTCCAACCGTAAAGCTTGAATGGGTAAGGCTGATTGGCAGGAAAGGAGTGGAGGGAGCCAGACATAGTGGGGATGATGGGTCACCATACTGGGTGACTTTCTAGGCAGGGCTGTTGAATCACTCACATCTAGTGATCAGTGGTTCCACAGTCCAAAGGCATCTTCACAATGCTCCCGGGGGAGTGAGCAGTTGAGGTCACCTGGGAGCTACTTCAGGGTAGCCCAGCATAACCTGAGATTGAGATTTTAACGTGTTCAAATATGCACTGCAGGGCCTCCCTGGTGGCGCAAGGGGTTAAGTCTCAGTACTATGAAGCTATTAGCAGCCACTGCAGCAGCGTTCAATCCCCAGCCAGGGAGCTGACCCACATGGTACAGCAGACCTCTCCAGTCTCACTGGAGAGACTAAACTACTCAGCAGTGTAGTTCAGTCAATCTGTCTATTCTGCTCCCCACCTGTCTCTGGTGAATCTTCTCACCCCCACCCCCCGCATCTCTGGCCTCACTCAGCACCCCAGTTCTTTTTTTTTTTTTTTTTTTTAATTTTCTAGAGGCATGTCTTATTTATTTATTTATTTATTATTTGTTTGTTTGTTTTGGTTTATACATGCACTGGGTACAGTCAGAAGCGCGGGAGGGTGAGAGAATTCACCAGAGCCAGAGCGGGGAGCAGAGCAGGCAGAAGGACCGAAGTACACTGCTGAGGGGAGCAGCGGGCGGCAGGAGAGGTCTGCGCGCCATGTGGGACCCTCCTCTGGTGGCCGGGGAGCAGCCGGGGATCGAACCGGCGTCGCAGAGGCCGCGGGCAGCTTCGCAACCCAGCGCTCAACCGCTGCGCCACCGGGGAGGCCCAGCACCCCAGTTCTTGTATGCATAAATAAAATTAATCTTTTTTAATTTAAATTTTATTTTTATATTCCCCATACAATTGCAACCCCCTTATTTTGACCCCAATCCCTCCTTTCCCTGCCCCCCCCCAGAGTGTCTCTGGTTCATAGTTGTTTGTTGATTTTGATTTCTTCTTATAGTTATTCTTTTTCCTGGTCCCTTATTTAAGTTTTCTAGATTCCTGCTATGAGTGAGACCATCCGGTATTTTTCTTTTTCTTTTTGGCTTATTTCACTGAGCATGATCCCTTCCAGCGCCATCCATGTTGCTGCAGATTGCATGTGTTTATCTTTTTTGAATGCTGAGTAATATTCCCTGGTGTATATGTACCACATCTTCTTGATCCAGTCATCTATTTTTGGGCATTTGGGTTGTTTCCAAAGCTTAGCTATTGTAAACAGTGCTGCTATAAACATAGGGGTGCAGGTGCTCTTTGGAATTGATGTTTCTGTGTCCTTTGGGTAAATACCTAGGAGTGGAATTGCTGGATCATATGGAAGCTCTATGTTTAGTAGGTCCAGAAATCTCCACACAGCTCTCCACAGTGGTTGGACCAGTTTGCACTCCCACCAACAGTGCAGGAGAGTTCCTTTTTCTCCACACCCTCCCCAACGTTTGTTGTTGCTAGTTTTTTAATATGTGCCATTCTCACTGGTGTGAGATGGTATCTCATGGTAGTTTTGATTTGCATTTCCCTGATGACAAGTGATGTTGAACATTTTTTCATATGCCTGTTGGCCATTTGCATTTCCTCTTCAGAGAAGTTTCTTTTTAGCTCTTCTGCCCATTTTTTGACTGGATTATTTTCTTTGTTTTTGTTGAGTCTCATCAGCTCTTTGTAGATTTTTGTGATCAGTTCTTTATTGCTTTGTTTTTTTTTTTTTAATAGAGGCATGTTTTTATTTATTTGTTTGTTTGTTTGTTTGGTTTATACATGCACTGGGTACAGTCAGAAGTGCGGGAGGGTGAGAGAATTCACCAGAGCCAGAGCGGGGAGCAGAGCAGGCAGAAGGACTGAAGTACACTGCTGAGGGGAGCAGCGGGCGGCAGGAGAGGTCTGCGCGCCATGTGGGACCCTCCTCCGAAGGCCGGGGAGCAGCCAGGGATCGAACCGGCGCTGCAGAGGCTGCGGTCAGCTTCGCAACCCAGCGCTCAACCACTGCGCCACCAGGGAGGCCCTGTGATCAGTCCTTTATCATTAGTGTTGTGTGCAAAAATGTTCTCCCAGTCGGTGGGGTTTCTCTTTGTTTTTGTTATTGTCTCTTTTGCGGTGCAGTAGCTCTTTAATTTGATGTAGTCCCAGCTGTTTATCTTTGCCTTCACTATCACTGCTTTGGGTGATGTGTCTGTAAAGATGTCTTTGATGTGCATATCATGTAGTGTTTTGCCTATATGTCCTTCTATGTATTAATAAAATTAATCTTTTTAAAAAACACAAACAAAAACCAAATATGCACTGCAAGTTCATAGCAGCAGTACTCCCAAAGACCACAAGGGGGAAGCAATCCAAACCATCAATTAAAGGGTCAATCCATAGGAGGTAATAGGTGTTCTGGAAAATGACAGACCACATAGATGATGGGTGGCCCATTAAGCTGTACCATCTAGCTGAATTATACTGACAGCCACACTATGAAGAAATTGCCTAAGGATGTATTTCTCAGAATGGGTCATAAAAAGGAGTGAAGCTGACATGCTACAAAAGTGTATGAACCTGAAAACATCATGCTGAAAGAAGCCAGACAGAAAGGGACTACTGTATGATTCCACTTATATGAAATGCCAGGACAGGCAAATCCACAGATGAAAGTAGACTGGTGAATGTCAGAGGCTAGGGGTGGGGGATGAGGAATGACTACTCATGGGATATTTCCTTTGGGATGTGGAATATTCTTGAGCAAGATAAAGATGATAGTTGCGTGACATTATAAATATATAAGTGCCACTTAGTTGTACATGTAAGATGATTAATTTTATGTCACCTTCACAACAGGCCAAAAACCCTGCTAAACCAAACCCTAGGCACACAAAAGCTGTATGTTTCCTAAGAACAAAGGGGACGAGGTGTGTGAGCAAGTCCATGGCACGTGTCAGGGAGAACAGGCAGGGATGCAAACCTGGGGTGCTGTGTATTGGGGCCCCCACCCTCCAAGTGGGACTGGGCTGGAGAAGCACAGTGAGCAGAAGGACGAAGACTGGTATTCAGCAGGTCCCCTGGTCCCAGGCAAGGGGCGCCACATGCTTGCTGCACTTGGCTGGGAGGGTAAGAGTCATTTCTGAAGTGGCGGATGAGAGGGGCAGACAATATGACAAAGATGCAGCGATGGCTCCTGTAAGTTTTATTTCAGATATATATATATATATATATAGGAAATTCACAAACAAGAAGCTATTTTATATGGTTATATCTGTAACACAATATTTTATATTTACAAAATTTTTCTCCTGATTAAAAGCACCAGCTGAAGTTATAGGATGCTAAAACCATATTACAAACCCATAAAAATACATTATGCCAAACATACTTATTAAAAACCCTCAACAAAATAGACAATGCAACTGACAAATACCACGTCACACCAGGCAGCCCTTGCCAGTTTTCCTTTCCTTGTTCCCAGTAAGTGGGAAGGGAGTGCTCACCCCAGGGAGAAGACCTAGCCTTGCCTGCCTAATGGGCCACTGCAGGGACCAGTCCGGGGGCAGGCATGTGTCTTCGAGGAACCTTGTGCCTCCTGGCCCAGCCCCCACAATGGACAGACCTGGGGAGGGGAGTGTCTGGCCAGTTCTCAGTAATTTACTTTCAAAGAGGAATCTTCCTGCTACTCCTTTGTCCCCACACTGAAAGGTTTGGAGTTTCTTACTTTTTAATGCTTAGCTATATGACCCTGTGTGTAATATCTCCTGGGGAGGGCTTGCTTGCTGCCTCTTAAATTCTTATGATTGAGAAACTGGGAGCCAGAGTCTGAACTCACAGGAAGAACTTATCAAAAGCTTCATGGATTGGAAGATGCTGCTGTAAAAGGGCTCAAAGCTTGTACACATGCACAATCACACAGGGTTCGGTGTTCATAAAGCTAGAGTGGATATTAAATGTTGAGTACTGGATTTCTAACTGTAAACTCATCCTTAACTTTACACATAAAGAAGAGGTGGTCACTAAAAGCACTTGAACATCAGAACAGACGTTAAATTTTGAAGTTCTTATTTCAACTGCTCTACATACAAGAATGCCCTAGAAGCAAATAAAGGCTTAAATAAATATGCAGAGACAAAACATGATGCATGGCGTGATTTAAGAAACTCAGGTCTGGAGAGGCCAAGAGTGCTCCACGCCAGCAGGTGTGGCTCATGGGGAGACCAGGCTCCATCCCTTGGTGGAGGGGAGGAAGACAGGATGGGATGGCTTATGGTCAGGTATCACACCCTCCTCTGCAGGACTTAGGGGCCCAGGGGTTGGAGGTGTGAGCTGGGGTACAGCCCAGGGCAGGGTCAGGCTATCTTGGGTGACCCAGGATGATAATCAGTGGGTCTTCACAGGATATCCCGATGGCCCATCCCTCCGACTGCGGCTTACTTGCTCACCTATTGCTGGCCCCCAAGTGGGTAGCAGGGCTCTTGTGGCAGAAAGTTGGCTGACAGCCCTGCTGTGGCTAAGGCACACTCAGACCTCAAGGTCTGAGCAGCTAACAGACCTGAGCAATCCCACTCAATGCTCCTTCCATCACAGACACAATGCCTTCACAGTGCAAGGTAACAAGATGCAGACCAATGAATCAATCCACCACCCTGTGGTAGGACACACTGGAGGGGAAGACTGCCTCAATGGCTCTGCCAGGCATCTCCCAGACCAACAGAGGCCCAGGACTGGGCATGATGGGCTGGGATCAGCAGAGCCTTCTGGGGTTTACTTGGGAGAAGGCTCAATGCTGCCCCCAGAAGCCCATGGCAGTAAGTTCCCTCCTGCCTCCAGAGAGCTGAGCGGGGACAGGGTGTAGATGGCCTAGCAGCTGCCAGGAAGCAATCCCCTATCTTCCAGCACCCTGAGTTGGGCTGAGGAGGGCTTCTTACCCCTCCACTGCTTTCTGCCCCACAGTGGGGACACTGAAACAGGGGTTGGTAGCTGGTGCCAACATAGGAGTCTTAGCTCCTGCTCTGTTCAGCTCTGTGTTGTGTGCCCACATGAGCACATGCACGCCCACGTCTACAAGTACATGTATCTTCACGGCCAGATGGTGCAGTCATTTCAGGTTTGAAAGCTGACTTCCTGGATCCCCCAAGACCCTTGACCAGGGGCCCAACTGTCAGAAGGGTAGAGAATGGAGAGAAAGGCAAGCTGGGAAGCATGGTGAGACGTTTTGTTCCCAACATGTGTCATTTCTTCCTTCCAGTTTTGGGCATCTGGCCTCTGGAAGCTGCCACACCGAGGAAAGGCTCCAGATGGAAGTGACGTGGCAATGACCCAGTGGCACAGCTCCCTACACTGCATCCTCTGCCTCTGGGGCAGGAACGATCAGGACCCAGTACCCTATTCCCCACCCAGACAAGAACCCCCTGCAGGCATGACTCAGATGTGTCCGAAGGACTGGCAGATCAAGTCCACTTAAAAGCTGGCTCTGGAAAGTTTGCTCCAACATCCCACCTAAAGCCTCATTTACCAGGTCCTAGCAAGGCAGGAACAGCTGGTCGGCCACTCTGGGGAGAATGGGAATTGATCCACATCCTCTCCAGGGACTTGGAAGCTCTGGACAATCAGGAAAGAAGCCTGAGATGCCCACGCCAGCACGTGTCCAAGGAAAGCTCAGTGCTGTTTGGGTGGAAGTCAGGAATACAATGGGCCCCTTGGATGCCTCCCAAAATCTGGGCAGTCCTCTCCAGGGGCCTCACAGGAGGCTGGCCAGGCTGGTATTGGGTCCATTCTGGGCTTGGAACTGCACTGGGGGAGGGCCATCAGTCCACTGTAGAGAGAAGACACAGGTGAGGTCCTTCCTGGGGTGAGTAACAGTCACATGTTTGTGCCTGAAATGCCACCCTCCTTGGCTGGCCACCCAGTCAGGATCCACCCCCTCCATACAGGGTTCATTAAGCCCTGGGAAGCAGCCTGCAACTGCTTTGTCTGAGGGGCGCCTGAGGCTGAGTTAGGTTTATAGGAGAGGTGAGGGAAGGTGACAGCCAGTGTGCTCTTCCCTTCCTAGGGAGGGTGCCCCAGGGCTAGGGGAGCTTTGCTCTGTCCCAACTGCCCTACCGTGATGAGGTTGTGCTCAGGGAGGCTGCAGGCTTCAATGTGGTCCTGGAGCAGCTGCTGGGAGAAGTTCTGGTGCATCTGGGCAGCCTCATGGGCATCCATGGTGTTCCCGCAGGCCTTGTTCAGGTCTGAGTAGGACATGAACATAGGGGTTGCCTGGCCCGCCCCTGCCTCACACCTTTCCCTGTGGTTGTGGGCAGAGTCCTAAGGTCAAACCTTGGCACCACCTGGCATATCACTGGTACCCTCCTGAGTCATGTGTCCTCAGAGGCAGATGAGCAGCAAGGAACACAGAACACAGATGGCTGTGGAGCAGTGGATACCCCTGGCCTTCCCGCACACGCTGAACCTCTAGGAGGTGGTTGGAGCAGGGCCCCAGTGCCCACTTCTGAGGCAAGAGGACCAGAGGGGCCCACCCAGTCTCCTCCCAGGGCCATGGTCAAGTCTTTGCACCCTCCATTTCACATTCTGTAAATGGGGAATACCAGTTATAACATAGACACCTGCTGGACACCTGTCTGCACCCAGGGTATCAGGGTTTATAGCCCAAGTCTACCACGCACTGAGAACAGCCTCTTGAGTTCAAGAATGAAATGGACCCTGCATCCTGCTGGCACTGTGAAGGAGCCCAGGGTCACTGCCCCTAGGCAGCCTCCTGAAGAGACTGAGAACATGTTGAACTGGGACCTTGGCTTCCAGAGGCCCAGCAGCCCCAATTACTGGGAAAGCACATGCACTCACCTCTCAGCAGGGCAGATGACCACAGCTGCACTGACATGTCGGGGATCTTGCTGGCCAGTTGCATGGCAGGAACCACCATGTTGTTACTCTCCTGTGACCAAGAAGAGTTGGGGGAAGGGGTGCTGGTATAGGCTCAAAATGTGCTCTCCAGTTGCTGGCAAACTTCTGATCCTTCTTCAGAGCTCATCTCCAACGGTCCTCTCTGAAGAAACTCCTCAACCAACTCAGGAAAAACCCACCCCTTAGTTATGCACCTGTTCCCTCACTGGGGCAGGGCTGGTCACGGGCAACTCTGTGCTTTTGCCTCTGTCTCTCTAACTAGAGAAAAAAAGCACTGGTGGTAGTCAGCTCTGGACTCTCATCCAGAGCCCAATAGAAATGCATATTCACGGGCCCTGGGGCCTGGGAGGAGGCAGCAGTTTGCCCCAGTGGGAGCAATGAGGGCTGAACAGGCAAAGGAAAGAGGCAGGGAGGATATTCTCTACTCGCCTGCTCTTGTGGGGCTGAGGGGCTATATTAACCCTTCAGTGTTCAATGCTCCCCCCACCCCATACCTAGGCTGTTCAAGTGAGGGACTCTCTTCCTTGCTGAGTATCATGGAGCTGTATGTGGGAAGCATGCGACTGGAATAAGCTCATCAAGGGGCACGGGTGGTGCCCCCTGCACCACATGGGCCTCCTGCCTGTTGGCCCAGGCCCTTACCCTATGGTTCCCCAACACGTAGAAGATGTGGCCCAAGAGCACAAGGGAGCAGGCAGTCAGCCGGTTCAGGTCTTCCGCATTGGACATCTTCAGAGTCTCTCGCAGAAATCGCCTAGGCAAGGAGAAGATGCTGAACGCCATCAGGACATCTTCAGGGAGGGAAAACAAAGCACCAGCCGAATGGCCCTATAAGCAAAGCCCACTTGGGGAGGACAGAGGGCCAGACACTGGGTACTTACTTGGCCTCGTTGTAACGTCCCTGAAAGAAGGAGAAAAGCCCACGCACGTAAAAGGCTGCTGCTCGGAGACAGTGGGAGCTGCGAGAAAGAGCAGAGATCTGTGAGAGGTTTATGAAAGCAGATTTACAAAAGGTGAGGGCAAGGGGTCACCAAGTATCAGGGCATAAGAGTGCTCACATTACCTTCAAAGCAGAGACAGAAGAGAATTGTCAGGTGGGACTGGGTGCAGATGCCTACCTGACAGGAAAGCTGTGGTCTGGGTTGATCCTCTCCAGCAGGCTGTAGAGCTGTGGGGAAATGCCAGTCAGCATCTTTCTGCCTCTTTGACCACGAGTGTGGCCACAACTGACAGCTGGTACCCTCACCTAATCCCATACCTAAGCAACTTTTCTTGCCCCCCCAGGGAAACTTAGTCTTTAATGGAAGGGTCTGGTGGGGGCCCTCCCAGTTTAGGTGAGGGAGTATAGGGGTATTGGGCAGTGTTCTGTCCTTGCCTTTCTATAATCAGAAGGTCTGGAGTGAGAAGGCAAGGCAGGAGGGTTGGCCCAGGGGTTTATCTAGAGCTGCGGGTACTTCAGGAAGCCCCGACAGGAAGTGTGACTAACACTTTAGCATCATCATTCTGGCTGCCATGTGGAGCTGGTATTAAGGGATGAGGGTATGAGTGGGCTGAGGTATCTCCTGATGTCTCCACAGCCCCTCCAGCAGGCAGACATGGGATGCAGGGGCAAACACAAAGGGGAGCTGAGCTCTTTTGTGACCTACCAAACCTGGCCCTGCCCATTACTTCCTGAGTACCAAAACAACTGGATGGGCTTTCTGCTTTCTGCTCCTGGCTGCCAAGCATCTGACCCACTCACAGTATGGGAAATAGCTAACTTCTTTGTAGACAAGAGATGACGGTGGCCTGGACCACAGCAAAGGCCATGGGGGCAGAGAAAAGTGGTTGAATCTGAAGGCAGGAATGCAGGAGCAGAGCCCAGACTGGCGGTTGTGGCTCCCAGGGAAACCGCCCCAACCTCAGAAGACGGGATCAGGACAACTGAGGAGCTGAGCCCAGCCCTTCTCTCTGTGACCTGCTCCTCAGAACTGGGTCATGAGGCCTCACTGACCGGAACACACACTCGTGGTAGAAGAGTTTATTTTTCTGTGGGATTCAATATAGCCTGGTTCATTTTCAACAGGGAGAAGTGTTATCTGGCTATAGAACATTTCTCTCCAGACTCAGTCTCCCAGCCCAGGCCCTGTTGGAGGCAGATATTCTGGGCCTGCTGAGGTCTGGTACCCCGGACAACTCCCACCCTAAATAAAAAGTTGAGAGAAAGGATACCAAACATGAAGCATGTCACCTACTACCTCTTGGTGTCTATTTCCTTCCCGTATATACACACTCGCCAGGTTGGTCACAATGAAGGCCCACAGCTCCTGATGGTTGGTGAGCTGGAATAAGAGACATGGGGTGAAGGGTCAGATCAGGAACAGCCACATCACACTACATTATATAGGACCATTCAAGCTCCAAACATTCCACAGCTGCTACTTTGGAATCTATTCTTTTTGTTTTAGATGCATTCCTTTCTTTGCCTCCTAAAACCCAAGGACAGGGTTTTTTTTTTTTTTTTTTTTTTAAGATTTATTTATTTATGTATACAAGAACTGGGGTGTAGGCCAGAGGTGTGGGGGATGAGGATTCACCAGAGACAGAGCGGAGAGCAGAACAGGCGGATCTAATGAATACACTGCTGAGGGGAGCAATGGGTGAGACAGAAGAGGTCTGCAGCACCATGTGGGTTAGCTACTTGACCGGGATTGAACTCATGTTGCAGGGGTTGGCAATAGCTTGATAGCGTCGTGTCTTTAATCCCTGCACCACCAGCGAGGCCCAGGACAGTTCTTTTTGTTATAAAAGACACCCACATTGTGAAAACTTTAGTAGACAGAAGCACCACAATGCCCGATCCTGCCCTTAGAACACATGGCAGTTTAATCTATTTTCTGCTTGTCTCTCAGAACTGAGACCTGCATGGCCCCTCCCTCACACAGCAGTTGGTGACCGTGGGGCTCTGGTCTGCATGTTCTCAGTATCCCACCCAAAGGGTGGCTGGAGGCAGCAGGAAACTAGAGATGCCACCAATGGTTGGTGATGGACAGACAGTTGTCCCCAGCTCTTGGAAAGTAGGAAAAACCAAGAGGGACTAAGCTGAGTGGCCCGGACCTTGGTCAAGGGAACTTAGAAGTGCAGAACCTGCCTGGAGGGTCCAGCACCTGCTTAGGAGGCCCAAGGGTCTTCAACTGCAAGTCTGTCCTGGGACTACTAAAAAGAGTTGGTGGTTAGGAGCTGGGTCTGCATCTAGCTGCACCACTTCCCATGTGGCCTGGTGAAGTGCTACTCCATCTCAGCCGGGGGCAAGATACTACATGGCACACATCCTTAGGAATTTTTGGAATTTTGATGTCAAACCAAATCAGTAGTAGCCTGTGAAAAGTGAGACAGGATTGAAAGGGGTTTGGAGACCTTAGGGGCCACACAGTTAACAGCAGGCAAAGTAGGGTGAGTGTGGGGGTTCCAGCACCACTGCAGTGGGTTGTGAGAATCAACTGGGCCAGGAGGAACACACGTGGGAAGGGCCTAGAAGGGGGTGGGAGTAGGTGCCTTACCACTTAGCACACTAGCATGTTGCCAATAGGCCAGGGCTCCTATGCATCTCTTGAGGCCAGGGGCAGGGGCATAGTACTCACACTATGGAGAGCAATGATGCCACCTTGGCTCAACCCAGGGAGTAAAGAGGTCTGAAGACTCTCTCGAGGGTGAGACAGGAGTACCTCATTTAACAAGGCACAAATCACCCCAAGCAATCTTGTATGACTCCTAGTCTTCCCAGGACCACTGAAAGGAAGGCGGCCAGCCTTCTCTCCCATGAGGATGATGAGGACAAGGTCGGGATGTTGGTCTGGTCCCAGCGTGAGGCATGCAAAGCTGGATCTGCTCTGGAATTGGAGGTCACCTGGGTTGGGTTACGCTGTGACAAAGAGGCACAAGCCTTATCCCAAGGTAATCCTGAGGCGAAGGCACCCCATAGCGCTCTTTCCTGACCTGGCAGGACAAGTGTCCTCTAACTTCAGAGCACCAGTCGGGGTGGTGCAGGGTTAAGGTAGTCACATGCCGGGATCAAGTGCCAGCTCTGTCACCCATCATGGGACAGTTCTGGAGAAGCTGTGAATTCCACAAAGTGACTAGGTATCTTCAGCTGTGACAAGAGTCAAGACCAGCCTAGTGGTTTGTGGAGAGAGCTGGAAATCAGGAGTGAAACTGGATGAACAAGCATCCAGCCCATGTAGTGTTCACATGGCTGTCCCTGGGTTGGCTCCCTGCCCTTAGCTATCCTGTCACGCTGGGCTGCCAGCACTGGCCTTGTCCCCATATGAGTAGCACAAGACCTACCATGGAAAGCGCTGGATAAAGGGTGAGTCACAGTCATGATCAGCATCATGCAGACTCCTCACTGACTTCTCACTGAGACCACCACCCACCCCTCAGAGTGCAGGCTGGTACTTTACCCGCAGGGCTGTGGTGAACTGGGCTTCTGCGTTGTCCATGCAGTTGACCGAGACACAATATAGGCCCTGGAGGAAGAAGGTGCTGAGGGTTTAGGGCCATACAGCTCACCCGCGCATTGGGGGCTTGGCTTGGCCACATGGCTGCACCTGGATGAACCTGAGAAGCAATTACTAAGCCAGGTACATCTGAGCTTTATCCTAATCAAGAAGCAAAAAGACAATACACAAATACTGCCACCTCCTGGGTCCTCTGTCTACTTATACTCAAGATGCTTGTCAGAACAAAGCTCACTGGGAATGTTCCAGATTTGCCTGGTGTGGCAGTCCCAGGGCTACTCCCGGGCTTGGAATGGCCCAGGCAGGTGGTCCCACACTCACCAGCAGTGTGTGCAGCTGTGCAGCATGGTTGGAGAAGAGCCGGGGAGACTGCTGGCATAGTTGACAGACCTGGGAGATCTGCCAGAGAGAGCATATCAAGTTGATCTGTGACCAAGTGGTGTTCTGACAGTACTAGGGAGAGACCCTATGTTTGAGGGATGTGCCCATGTCCTGCCCTCCCCATCTTGGGCACAAAGTCCTAGTAAATGTGCTATTGTCCCTGATAACAGTGCTCTTTGTTTGCCACCATCCTCCTCCCTTCTTCCCAACATGGGTCTTGTCATATAGCACCTTTGCCTGCTCAAGATGGCAGGCATTGGAAGTGACAGACCCTGGGGCAGGAGAGGAGGCTAGATTCCCAGACACCACATACTTTGGGCATATGAACTTCCAAGGGAAGGTCTGTTTGGTTTTTGTACAGATTATCTGAGCACTTGTGAATACTCTATTACAGCATGGTGACTTAATGACAGATGATGACCTGAGGGCCACCCGCACTGGGAAGAGTCATATCTGTCTGTGGCCTCTGTGATCCAGTGACCTGCTCCTTAGGTCCCTCTCCCCAACTCCTACCATGTGCACCCTCTGTGGCATTACCTCCTGTAGTGCAGTGGCTTTGTGACCTGTGACAAGCCTGCACATGATGATGTGTTCCAGCAGGATCACTTGGAAGGATGACAGGATGGGGCTGCAGTCCAGCACTGGGGACAAGAGGTAGGGTGAGCGTTTGGGTGAGGCACTAGAAGCCGCTGCCCCACCCACTTTCCTTGAGCACCTGGCTCCCACCTGCCTCTACCACACCATCCACTCAGCTACTTGCTCTTTGGCAACAACTCAGCATCCAGTCCATTCAGTCCTATCAGTTCCTACTGCACCCTCCAGTGAGATCATGTCTATACTCATCACCTCTCAGTGCCCACTGTGCCCTCCCTGTCCAAATGGGAAAGCTGGATCACAGCCAGGTTTTGGCAACCAGAACATTGTATCAGAGAGATCTGTCTGCCATCCTTACCCCATCCAACCTAGTCAGACAACACAGATTCTAAAAAAGCAGAAGCTGCCAAGAGTGAGATCACGCGACAAGCCTCAGCAGCAGTGGGGACCTCAGTTGCTGGCCACCCTGAGTGGCTATCTTCATGCTAGAACCAGACAGCAAGCACAGCAACCCTTTCCCAAGTTGCCAGGGAAAAGATCCATGATCTCAAAAAGATTTGGTTGCGTGATTTCATTTCTGTCCCCCACCTCTCCCAGGCAGTGTGACAGCACAGATGACAAAGTCAGGGAGATGTCCCTGGTAGCATAGGACCGATCAGGTGCACATCTAGGGAGAACCCATAACCCCTAGACAAGTTGTGTTAGTCAGCAAGAACTAAGTTGCATGGGCCTCCCCGGTGGCACAGCGGTTGAGTGCTGGGTTGCAAAGCTGCCTGCAGCCTCTGCAGTGCCGGTTCAATCCCCGGCTCCTCCCCGGCCACCAGAGGAGGGTCCCACATGGCACACAGACCTCTCCTGCCGCCCGCTGCTCCCCTCAGCAATGTACTTCCATACTTCTGCCTGCTCTGCTCCCCGCTCTGGCTCTGGTGAATTCTCTCACCCTCCCGCACTTCTGACTGTACCCAGTGCTTGTATGTATGTATGTACGTACATACGTATAAATAAATAAATCTTAGGAAAAAAAAAAACAAAAACTAAGTTGCAATCCTGGCATTTCCCCAATACGCTGTGTCATGCCACTCAAAAGGCACATCACCTGATTTAGCTGAGTACTACCGTCCTACAGACCTACATGGTCTCCTACTTCTCAAGATTATCTGTGCAATAGGGTGACAGGACTGAGCGGGCACAAGATCCCTGGTCAGGGGTCAAAGGCCTGTTCTGGCCTGCTCTGACCCTGGGTCACTACCAATGCCAATAGGGATAACAAGTCCACAGGGCAAGGGCTCCTGCTGGGAGACTCAGTTCCAGCAGGCCACATGGCCACACCACCAAGCCTACTAACTCTTCAGTTTCTCCAGCTGCATGAGGGCCTTGTCTGTGTACTTCTGCGCCTTCTCCAGGTAGCCAGCCTGCATGGAGTGCATCACAGTCACCTGAGACAAGAACAAACAGTGTCACTGGGATCTTCTCCTTGTCCCACCTCTTGTCCCACTGGCCCTGCCCAATACTCACCAGGTAGACAAGCACACACATGTGCTCCTTGGGCAGCCAGTGGAAGAGGTCCGCAGGGTTGCTGGGCAGGATCTCATCATCATGCAATGTGGAGATGGTCTGGATGCACTGCTGCAGCTGCTTCAGGCACGGCTTCACACTCTTTACCTACAGGGACAAAGGCACTGAAAAACTGACCATGTGCACCTGAGCCCTGCCCACCCCACAGGTGCCAGGGGCCACCTCCCCAACAACCTCTCTGTCCTTGCCTCCAGGAACTCCTGCTGTGCCTACCAGCCACATGGGTCACCTGGGTCACACCTATGAAGGGAGACTTTGCCACCACCCAGTGCTGGGTTGCACCAAAGCCTGAGAGAAGCCTGTCCAAAACACTGCCCAAGTGTGTTTCCTCCTCCTTGCAGTGACCCCAAGGGAAGGACAGGGTTGGGCAGGGGGTGGTTATCTGTAGGTATGGAAAAATGGCCTCCCTCCCCAGCCCAGAAGTCCTGCAGGCACTGTGGTTCATAGACAGGCTTCTGCACAAGGAAGCCCTGTCCAAAGGTTCCACAGAACTCCAATAGGCAAAGGAGAGTGTGGTAGAGGAAGCCCCTGTTCGGTGCTTTTTGGAGTCTTTGCTGCTGGCAGGTTTTACCTGTGGCCTCCCAGAACCACTGCTTGTGGTCAGTCACTATGGTGGGATGAGGCAAGGTAGATGGAGCAGCCACCCTTCAGAGACTGAGCTGTCCATCCATACACAGGCACAGCTGCCCATCAGCCACACAGGTTATAGAGTCAAGTCGTGTACACAGCTGACCCCCATCAGTCCCTACTCAATCCCCAAGGCTACTGTCATATTGTTTGAGCACCTGCCAGAATGTCCATGGTTCACTCTCAGACTCCCCAAACTGGCCTTTGACCATTGTACACTGAGTGGACAGTATGAAGCTATGACTCCCAGTCTGGGCAGACCCTCATTCTCAGCACCCTCAGCTCCCAAGGGCATAGAACATAGAAATAATTGAGGTATGTGGGGAAGCTGAGCCCCAAGTAACAGGCACACTGTGTAACAGTAGCAGGAGGCCACCACAGATTCGTCTCCGCCTGAGGCTCACCTGCAACCAACCCACACCCAGTGCCTCCTGTGGGAGATGCTACACACCTGCCCAGCATCCAGGTAGTGGGTCACCTGGAGCACCAGGAAGAAAACTCGCAGAGACTCCTTCTGGATGGGGTTCCCTTGCCAGTTCTCCACTATCTGACCACACAGGGTGAGCAGTGGGTGGACTTCCTGCAACTTGCGTTCCATCAGCAGTAACTGGGGAGTGAGAAGACAGGTGAAGAAGCTCCTCAAGGTACCCAGGGCTTCCAGTGCCTGCCCCCCACCCCCATCCCATGAACCCCAGCACCGTGAAAAGATGATGCCAGGTGGGATGGGAACCTGTACAGGTAGCTGCTGCTTCTGCATGAATCCCATACCCTGGACTCTGAACCTTGCCAGGGATGTGGTCCTGGCCTGTGACTTACCATCCCTTTGCTGAGCAGGAACAATGCTCTGGAAAACAAAGAGGGGGAGTTAGTGTGCAAGGCCAGTGCCTTCTGGGAAGGCTATGCAGCCTTAATGTTCACAGAGACCTAATGTAACACCCCGGAAGAAGACTGAGTAAATGACAGTGGAACATAGTGGGTATGTTCAATTCACAAAAACAGCTCTACTTTCTTATTCCATCTTTTATTAGTTTTTTTTCCTTCTTCTTTTTTTTTTTTTTTTTGGCATGGTTTAAATGCTCACATGGCTTGAGAGCCCAGATGGTGCAAATGGTGCTCATCATGGAAGGGCAGGTACAAAAAGAGCACCAAATTTCACTCTCAACACAAGCCAGGAGCTCTGTAACAGTGGCTCCTATATGGGAGGAGGTACAAGGAGGGACTAAGTGGGCAGCCTCCGGCACCTGACTCTGCCTCTACTTCCTTGCCTGTGGCCTTCAAGCCCTCTGGTTCCTGAGGGTTAAGGGTATGAATCTGGGAAACCCAGGTACCTCAGTGGTCCCTCTACCCATCTCCACCCTCTGCTGGAGGTGAGGCCAAGAGATTTCTATTGTCTTTCTGCACTTTCTAAATGAGCATGTACTGCCAACATCAGCAAGAAATATGACAAAAAGGGTAAATTAAAAAGTTTAGAAAACAGCCAAAATAGTGGGGAACAGCTGTGTTGGCCCTCAGTCTATTCAACATCAAAGTGCTGTCTGCCAGGCTGCATGGAGTCCCCAGTGCTGCAGCTGACACTCCTTAAAGTGAGTGCTGTTCTACCTATTATACAGGCAAGGCAGCTGAGGTGGGGAGGTCATGGCACCCTAGTCTAGCCCACCATTCCTCAAGGTTATCACATGGCATGGACATTCCAGGTCTGCCCTAAGAGATGCTTGCAAACCTGGAGTTCAGAAGGGAGTCAGGAGCCATTTTGTGCCAAAAACTTATCAGATAAGCCTCCAGTGATAGAACTTTCCAGAATCCCAATGCACACAACAGAACAAGAACACTACTACTTGGAGACTGTTTACTATATAGGGATCTTCTCCTTGAGAAAAGAAAAACTGGAGGCCCTCACAAAGGGTGAAAGTCCAATGGCCTCTGATCCCTGACCCAAGGGCAACTTCCTCCAATGACCTAAGCAGGTTCATAAGTCCCTGCTTTACACAAACTGCTTCCTGTTTGCATCTAAAAGAGGCTGGGTCCCCTGAGCAGGGGACACAGAGGTTATCTACAGGATCTGCCAAGCGGGTAGGCACTCTGCAGGCACTGCCAGGCACTATATGCCGCCATCGGCTGTACAGCAAGTAACAGAACCACCTGGACAAACATGCATGTTTCCGTGAGGTGACCCTCCAACTCTGACTTCATGAACTGATGGGGCAAGAGGTGTCTAGTATTTGAATTTGTATGTCCTTATGCTGAACTGCCATTTCTACTTGATACAAGAACAAGATAGACAGCTCTTTCCAGGTAAGAGAGAGAGGCAGGAAATGGTGCCTACCGGGTGTACTCGGATCCCACCACTCGGGCATACTCAGCCCCCACGCCCAGGAGGTCACAAGCTGATACCAGGTCCTTTTCAAGAGTGTGCAGTTGCTGAAAAGAAGAGAGCGATGACCCTGAATGCTCAAGGTACCTGACCTTACTGCTCTGCTAGTGGGTTAAAATGCATATTCCACACATCATCATGATGGTCTTAGCGTCAGTTTTGGGCCAAATTAACCAAGTTACTTCATCACTATTAACTGCTTTGATTACAGATGCACTAGGACACAGCACAGCTACTTCACCTTAACCCCAGCAATGGCCTCCACTGTCAAGAAATGCCCCCAGGCTTAAATGAACTTAGGCCAAAGCAATACCAGGAGGGAGGGGGCTGGGGACTGAGCTGGCCCTGGGGAGATGGGAACTTCCCACCACTCGCTTTCTGTGTGTTGGGAAGCTTACGGCAGACAGAGGCTGGAGGGGCTATATGAGCAGGTAAAAGAAACTCCCAAGTGCCCACCAATTAATTCAGTCAGTATGTCCAGGAGTCTGCTGCTCCAGATCTCTCCTTGCCAGGTATTCCCATATCTAGCCAGCCCCCATACTCACAGCCAGCTGAAAGAGCAGGCGGCAGTGCCAGTATGGGGTCTGCTGGGAGATCTGGATTGCTTTCCGAAGCAGTGGCTTTGCTGCGTCAACAGAATTCTGAAAGGAAACAGGCAGGTTTAGGGAGGAAAAAACAAGTTGGTAGCAGCTGTGGTGCCAGAAGGCCACTCCTGTTCTCTCTCATAAGGTTTGTAGGCTGCCAATTTACTTTATTGGGGGAAAAATTTTTTATTGAACTTACTAAGAAGTTTTTGCATCACTCTTAAAATTACTCCTTTTTCAACTAAACAAAGTAGCTTTGGTTCAAAATCCAGAACAGTAGAATTGGATAATAATCCCCACCTTTCCTGTTCTACAATCAGGGTGGGAAGGGGCATGAGAACACACTCCTGCTGCCTAGGCCTCATGCCTGGCCACTGTTCACAACGGGAAATCAGGACTCAGATTAAGAAGGTTAGCTGCTTGCACTTGTTGGGAACAGATCATCCTTAGCCTAGAACAAGGCTGTTCAATGTTGGGTAGGAAAGATTCTGCTGTTCTCATTAGCAAGTGTTTACCCTGATGCTTGTGCTGGCGTACGAGGTAGAAAAATAATGGCAAGTATTAAAAGGCCAGAGAAGAGCCCATTCCTTCGAGACCCCAATTTGTTACTGTCCCTTCACTACATGGAAAGGGAAATGGCTTTCAGAAACCTTCCTATATTCTCACCTCTTGACAGTATAATTCAGACAGAAGACTTGCCGCTTCAAACTTAACATCTTCAAATTGTGGGATCTAGTGCATCCAGTTAAGGAAGTACAGAGATTGCAAAGTGGTCTGTTTAAAAGGGTCACACTCAGGGTTCCTGCATTGCAGGGGCTTGCTGGCTCTGAAATCCAAATTCACATATTCCCTAGCAACCCCGAAAAACCCCTTTTGCTAACAATGCTGGCATGGAGCTCGATGTGGGGCATAAAGAGGAGACCCATGGAGAAGCTGCTAGTCTGAGAGGGGCAGCATGGGGTAGGGTAAGAGGAGGCTGCTAGTCTGAGGGAGATGACACCCAGGGGGAGGCTGCTGATCTATGGGACAGAGGCTAAACTGAGGGGTGGTTATAAGTGGGACTTTTAGTCTATACCACACTCTTTTTATTCAAGGAGCATTTCCTAAAGGAATCCATAGCAGTAAGACAAGGATACTTGCTGTGATATCAACCACTGAAAGAGAAAGAGAAAAGGATTAATTTCAGGCAAACCTTGGTGCTGTTCAATGGCTCTACTCTGGTTCTTATACAAGTTTTCCAGTCACTGACAGGTGCAGGTATTCAGTCCAGCAGGAAGGTAATTGAGAGGGTGGCTCACTTTCCCTCCATTTCAGAAGAAACATATATGAGTTCCCCTAATGACTCTGGGGCCTCTTTGGCCCCAGAATACTTCCCACCATAGAGGGCAGCTGCTTCAGAAGAGGGAGGAACATGGGCAACTTGGGCCCCAGGTGCCACTCACTGTAGTAGAATAAGTCAGGAAACCATGGCACAAGGAAGCAATATACTAGAGTGGGTCTGTGGTTATAAATCCTCCCTGGAGAAGTGACATTAAGGAGATCCTTGGAAATAAGCCTCAAGGCGAGGGAGGGGCAGTCCAGGAGGGACAGTAGGGGTAGTGCCTGGCCAAGGGGACAGATGTGATTCAGAGGACCACAGGCAGTCAGGTCCTGGCTAGTTCACCATATGGACCAAGGTCTGTGCAACCAGACAGGATTAAGCACATACCTGGCACTGTTCCTGCTGGCCTACCCATTCCACAAATACTCACAGGGCCTTGGAAGGAAGACAGCTGAAAGGCACATCAGAAATCAAACAGAGATTCTGAGAGAGAATGAAGGGGTGGGGCTGGGCCTCAAAGGGTTAGTGTAGGAAATGATGGGGTGGGGGGAGAGCAGGCAAAAGAGGAATGGGAAGTGCTTCTGGCAGAAAAGAGCCTATAGAAAAGGTTCAAGAGGGTCAGGAGGTGAGGCTAGACAGCCTGATGAGTCTGTGGCACCAAGCAGCAGTAAATGTGGGTCAGAATGTCCCAAGTCACTCTGTGGCCTGACCCAGGGAAAGGTAGAAAACAAAAGCACCCAATCAGATTCTGTTTTAAGAGCAGGGGGCTGCATGCCAGGGAGAGAAGGGAGGCCTGGAAAGTCATGGACCAATTGGAAAAAGAATTGAAGTTGCCAGCTCAGACCAGTTGCCTGCAAGACACAGGTGCATCAGAAGGGGGAGCTGTAGGAGCAAGAAGAGGACAGACAGAAGGAGAGAGGGGGGACAGCTTGGAGAGAGATGGAGAAAAAAGTAATTGAGAAAGATGGAGGAAGAAAAATGATGGATGGATGGATGGACGAACAACTGACAGACATAATTAGACATAATTAGGAAGGCAGACAAGGAAAAATAGAGCAAGGGAGAGAAAGTAGGAGTGTGAGGAAGAGAGATGACAAGAAAGAGCTCTTATGCCTCTGGCTTCTATTTCTCTCATACATACATGCACACATATATGAAAATGTATAAAACCCAAGAAAATCATACTCTTCAGTCAGCCCAACTGTCCCCTCCTAAAAGCCGCCTACAGCAGGGACAGGAGACACTCAGGGTCCCCTGAGGGACAGGGTCAGTACCTGCAGCTAAGAGTATGGCACCAAAAGTTGCTCAGTTGGAAGCCAACTGTGGGGACAGCGGGGGATTGAGGGAGCAGCACACAGCCCAGCTCCAGTCACATGTATAATGTCATAGAGCTGGGAACTGCAGAAGTCAGACATTCTCTCTACAAAAGCTGCTGTTCCCCACCAGGAAGGCCAGTCCAGCGAGAGAAGCTCCTGAGGGCCACTGGAAACTGTAGCTGGAAAGCAAGGCTAAGGACATGCTAAGGTTTTGCTCAACCTCAAGATTCCTTGCTCCTGATTTCACCTCTAGCAGGGACTGACTTCAGGCAGGAGATGCATGCTTAGGGGGAGCCCTTCAGCAAGAACGCAGGTAGAAAGAGAGAATGCAACAATATGGGTGGACCTAGAGAATAGTCATGCTTAGTGAAGTAAGTCAGACCGATTATGACTTCCCTCATATAGAAAATAAAGAAATGAATGAACAAAACAAAACCCCAAAACCAAACTCTTAGGAGAAGAGAATGGTGGATAAATTGGGTAACAATGGTGGGGTCAATTGTAAGGTGGTGAGTGGAAAGACTTGGTGGTGAACACAGTACATGGAGAAGCCCATTTATAAACCTGTACTTCTGAAATCTACATGTTATAAACTAACGTCACTCCAATTTAAAGAGAGCGTAAGGCCACCACCAGTACTCCCTTTCATCCATGCTCCAGGTGAACAACCCGTCCTTGTCCGCATCCAAGAACTGGCATATAGGCCAGAGGCATGTGGGTGGGGGGTGAGAGGATTCACCAGAGACAGACTGGGGAGCAGAACAGGTGGATATACTGAAATACACTGCTGAGGGGAGCAGTGGGCAAGACAGGAGAGGTCTGCTGTGCCATGCGGGTTAGCTCCCTGGCCAGGGATCAAACTCATGCTGCAGATAGCTTCATTGTGCTGAGACTTAACCCCTTGTGCCTCCAGAAAGGCCTCTTGGGAACAAGGTTTAAAGGCTGGGTAAATCCACCTCCTCTGTGTCACTGCCCCTCAACAGAAGTGAGCTAGGTAATGAAACAAGGGGTAAAACCTTTACACTGTGTGAAGCATGTGGCTCAAGGATATCTCCCCACTGCACAAGGCACTCTGAATCCATATTTGAGGACAGCCCAAGAAGTGCCTGTCATGTCCACTTCCCCAGTCTCGGCCTGTGTGGACTCACCAATGTCTCCTCATAGCAGTATCTTTTCTTTTCTTTCTTTTTTTTTTTTTAAAGATTTATTTATTTATGCATACAAGAGCTGGGGTACAGGACAGAGATGTGGGGGTGGTGAGAGGATTGACCAGAGACAGAGTGGGGAACAGAACAGGCAGACAGACTGAAATACATCGCTGAGGGGAGCAGCGGGCGAGACAGGAGAGATCCGCCGCACCATGTGGGTCACCTCCCTGGCTGGGGATCGAACTCACGTTGCAGTGGCTGCGAATTGCTTCATAGTGTGGTGCTTAACACCTTGCACCACCAGGGAGGCCTTTTTTTTTTTTTTTTTAAAGATTTATTTATACATACAAAATCTGGGGTACAGGCCAGATGTGCGGGACGGTGAGAAGATTCACTAGAGACAGAGTGGGGAACAAAACAGGCAGACTGACTGAAAAACACTGCTGAGGGGAGCAGGAGGCCAGACAGGAGAGGAATGCTGCACCATGTGGCTAGTTCCCTGGCCAGCTGGGAATCGAACTTGGCCAGGGATTGAACTCGTGCTACAGAGTCTGCGGATTGCTTCACAGTGCTGTGCTTAACAACCCTGTGCTTAACAACCAGGGAGTCTCCCGGCAATATCTTCTTATCCTTTCTCCTTCTGGGACTTTGTGTAACTAACATCTAGTCCATGACACTTGGGTTGCTCTCCACTGATAACAGATTATTTGTGATAGTGGCCAGTCATCTGCCAGCTCCCTCCAATTCTGACATGAGAGCTGGAGAAAGAACATCACTTTTCCCAGGTCCTTATGACCACCGGACAAGTGGGTTGTTTGCCCAAAGGCTCAAGACTGGAACCTTTTGGAAACGCCTTATCCCCCAGCATCAGGGGTATTGGGAGTGCTGCCCTGGAGGTTAGAGGTCATAAGGTGTGGACTCACATGGGAGTGCACAACACACAGAGTCCTAGAAGAGCTGGTTCCTTAGCATTCATCAGATAAAGTCTCATAGTGTGCCTCCTCATGGTACTGCATCCCCAGTGCCTGGAATGGACTGATGCAAAGGTGTAGAAATGGAAATAAAAATAAAAAGAGGAGAAAGCACAGATCACGCTATCACAAAAGTGCTTAACTCTGAGTTCTGCAAATACAACTAGGTACCACATTCTGCCAAGTGATGGGGCTGGAATTCAGCAGGATAAGATGAAGGACCTGTTCTAGTTGTGACAGACGGCATAGAACCAACCCTTTTGGGCTTAAGAGAAAGGGATGGTTTAATTACACACCAGGAAGGTGAACTACTGTCAGACGTGGAAGCAGAATTAACAAGTGTCTAACTTGTACAGCTTGAGCTGCTTTCTAAAGAAAGCAAGAAAACACCCACTACTAAAAAGCAGGCCCCAGGGCCTCCCTGCGCCACCAGGATTGGCAGCTGCGCTGTGGGGCTGTCCAAGGCCTCTGCAGCGCGGGTTCGATTCCTGGCCAGCCAGGGGGAGGCCTGCATGGCATGGCAGACCTCTCTTGCCTCACCCACTGATCCCCTCAGCAGTGTCTCCGGTCCGTCTGCCTATTCTGCTCCCTGCTCTCATAGGAGTTCTCTCGCCCTCCTATGCCTCTGATCTGTACCCCAGTTCTTGAATAAATAAATGTTTAAAAAAAAAAAAGCAGCCCGCAGACAGAAAAGCAAATGTGGCATTAATTACTGGGAAAATAATAAGCAATCCATTCCAGCGAAGTAGCATTTATCCTTCTGTGACTTTCACATCAGGAAAATGTAAAGATGTACTTTCCAAGTCAAGGGATAAATAGGAGTGTGATCAAAAGCAAGAAAGTAAGGGGAAAGTAGATAAACATTTAAGTTCAGAGAAACCCATTCTCTTAATTCCAGAGGATATGCAAATGGTTGGCATAGAACTGGCTGCTTGAAAGACAGCATGAAAGCAAGACAATAGAAGATTGAACATTAACACAGGAATAAGTGTGCATTAAGAGGAAAGGTAATAAGGTGAAAATTAAATAACACAAATTGACAGATCTGCAGAAACAGCTTCATAAATTCTCTAGCCAAGAGATTTCTGAGTAAAACAACATTCCCTATAATTCTAGACTATTCACTCAAGGAGTTTCAGAGCAGCCACAGATTCTGATGACATATATCCACATCACTGCCAAAACCATCATCAAGGAAAGGTTCTCAGACAGAAGTGTCCCATCATGCATGTAAGAGCTACAGGATCTCTGAGCAGACCCAGGGAAGACATGCAGGGACATCTGAGATCAACAGCTTCAATCTCAATAAAATTGTTGAGGACAGGGAGAAACAACCTCCCCACCCTCCTCTCATGGGAATGCTTAACAAGATTCTGTCCACTAATGAAGTAGATAGGTAACTACTTTATACATTCCTTCTAGAAAGCTTATAAATGCAGTTGAGGAGGAAGCTAAAAACTAGCACAGAAGACAGAAAGGTAAGAAACTTTACCTTATGTACACACACACGTGTACAAATACATATAAATACATGCATACATAACTACCAAGGAGGTTAGGAGTTCTCAGAGGGAAATGAATATAATAGGTGAGTGAAGTACAAAGTTCAAAGGCCAATAAAAATTTTACCTAAAGCATTTATAAGTTTGGGAAGGAAAGAACAGCAGAGGGAATGATCAGGGACAAAACTGTCAGGAAATACTTGAGTCACTCACCTTTTAAAAAAAAAAAAGTTTTTTTTTTTTTTTTTTTTTTTTTTTTTAAAGTTTGGGTTAGTTCCTGAAAAGCAATTGGATATCTTTGGCCATTTGCTCTTCAAGACTAGAAACTAGCCAACCACATTTAAAAGAAGAACAGATCATGACTCTATAAAGTGGGTCTGGAAAAGGAAAGAATAGAAGTTGACAGTTGCCTGACTTGGGGGAAAAAAACAACAAATAAAGAATAAAATTAAAGAAAGCACACTTGCGATGCAACACAAAAAGAAGTCACAAACCAAGTGCAGAAGGCAGCACAGAGAGAGGCTCTTCAGTTGAAATATGAACAAAATCCTAGCATGCAACAGCTAGAAAGGAATTCCCAGTCTTATGTCAGCATGAGCTTTGTGGCTCTGAGGAAGACCCCACAGGTTTTGGGAGTCTATAAAAATAGGGGAAGGCACTTTAAAGGATAAGGGTTTAAATTATGGATCCAAAAGCCAAGTGGGTAAAAGGGAGCAACTTGAGATCTGACTGCTTCCTCTTGACAGGACTGAGTGGCAAATTCTGAGAATGATACACAGCAACTATGAACCATTGCTAGAAACAGGCTAACTGCTTCCCTCACCCCTCAGAGTGGGGAGGACAAGGGAAGGGAGGTGGCAGGATTTGTTTTTAATGCAGAGAAGGAAATTCTTTTGGCACATTCACAAACGGTCTGGCAGCCAAGTCACCAGATCACCCATGCAAGGAAAGCTGGGGCTTCTTCATTTGATCTCAGCCTTATCACTGCCCATGACAAACCCTGACACTGACTGGTCTCAACAGCATGGACACTCACTGAGACCCACCTGACATATCCAACGTAGTCTACCAGGATTACTCCCTACCCAGTCAAGTCTGCTTAAATGTTGCTCTAACAAATAGACTTACTCCTTCCCTCTACCAAAAATAGCTCCACACCAGCAGCATCCCTTTTTTCTGGCACTTATTCTTTGTGGTTCTTCTATCACTGTTTAGTCTTTGACTACATATTCATTATTTGTCTCCCTTACTGCTGATTCCCAGCGCTTAGAAGAGGGCTTGGCACCCAGTGTGAGCTAAACAAACAACTGCTGAAAGGAAGAGGAAAACGTCACAAAAACAGTAACAATGTATTTTTTGGCATAGAACCTGGCACTCTTAAATGTAGGTTTGAGCCTTGATTTATTAACCTGCTGGTGGCTTTATACACATCACTGCTCTGGGTTCATGCTGCTTCAGTCCTGAAACACGGAAGAGATTAATGATTGATTAAGGATTGAAGTCCCTTTCTAACTCTGTACAATCTGCAAAACAAAGATCTGAAATCCTCCCGTTATTAGCCATGGGAGGGCTTGGATTTACCTCACATTGGTAAAAATTTAAAATCTGTTTATATTCAAGAGATCACTTCTTTAAGCAGAATAAAGACGTATAAGTGGCAAAAGAAGGCATGGTGGGTCTGAAAGGAGTGTGGTGGTGCTGTGAGAAAAAAATCCACAGGCAGAAAGGGTAGAGGCACTATCACCATCCCACAGTCTTCAAAGCATCAAGATCCCACGTTTAAGATGGGGGGTGGTCTGCCCTCTGAAGAGGATGAATTAGTGATGGTGGGAGAAAAAGCAGTCACCAGATGATAGGGAGAAAAGAAGGAGCTTCAATAACCGCCTTATACAGAGCAATTGGTACTGGAATTCAGACCCCACCCCTGATCCCACACTCTGAGCCTACTTTGAATACCTCAAATGAGCAACTTTGGCTCTGGGTCTCTTAGCACCCTGCAAGACCCTCCAAACACAGATCAGACTTCCGGGTCTAGGAAGGGGAAAGTCTTCCCAGGTTTTTTGAGACCAAACTTCAGATCCCCCAGTAATATTTGGACTGTCAACCTTCCCTTCCCCAATCCTGAGTCACTTCAGGAGAAGTCTGAGGGTCGAGGAGTTGGACCACAGGCCCATGTACGGGTGTGCCGAGTCTCGGAGCCAACGCGTGAGATACTCAAGAAAACTTTAAGAATTGGGAACACTGTTGCTCCTCACAAGAAAACTCAGCAAACCTTGAGTGAGGTCCTGGGTCCCTGCAGCCACCAAGGACGTTAAATACGGTGTGGGGCGAGGCCCTGGGGTCCCCAAAGGCGGGCGGTGCCCCAGCCGGGCCCTCGGCCCGCACCACCCAGCGCCTCCCCGCTCACTGCCCGGCCCGCGCTCACCGCCTTTTCCAGGTGGCTGCGCGCCTGCTCGCTATTCTTGGTGTGGTGGTAGAGCACCGAACCAAGCTGCAGGTGCGTACGGGCCTCGATGCGCTGCGGCGGCTTGAAGGGGAACACGGCCTGCAGGCAGTGCACGCACAGGCGAATCTTGGGCGGGCTGGAGGTGCGGAAGTGCTCGGCAAAGCCCAGGAGCGCCAGATACCAAGACTCGGCCGCTTCGGCCTGCGCCGCCTGTGCAGCTGCCTGAGCCGCCGCCACCGCCTGCGCCGCCATCTTGGCCTCCACAACAACAAGCCGCCCGCAGGGAGGCGGAAGCGGTGCGAGGGGCGGGGCCGGCTAGCCTCGCGGCTGTCGCGATATTTACCGTGTAAAGCGTCCCTGAACTTGTAGTTTTGTGTTTAGCGTTACCGTGGCTCCTGGAAGGCATAAGAAACGGCGACGTCTTCTGGTCCTCCGGACTGAGACCGGACACAGAAGACAGCCCTAGATGTGTATTCCCGTTGTGGGAGAAGACCCTTGGCGTTCTCGCAGCTGCCGGACGTGGCAGGCAAACGCGGACTACATCTCCCGGCAGGCCATGCGCACTATAACAAGCCTCTTCGGGCGGCGCCAAAGCATTGTGGGTGTGGAGGAGTCTCAAGATGGACACCCGGGATGTTGCAGGTACCAGCCCCCGCCTCCCCTCGGCGGCCGCCGGGGCCTGGTCTGCGCGCCACAGCCTCGCCTCTCTCTGGCCCACCTACCCCACCAATCCCGCCACAACCCACGGGCCGCCCGGAGTGACCTCCCTCGAGCGCTGTCCGCCAAGCCCCCCAGACCCAGTTGTCTGTTTTCACTCCTGGCGCGCTGAGGGCTCCTAGCTTTCCGTGCAGGCCTCCGCCAGGTCTGCCTCTGCTCGTTTTCCAAGTAGTCGCCTTCGGAGCTGCTCCGAATCCTGCGCCCCGAAGACCGACAACCTTGGGCTGTCCCGAGAGCACCTTTCCTCCCCACGTTGGTAGCAGCCGCTGTATGGCCTGTGTCCCGTTTTCTGGAAAGGCTGCTTTTCCGAACTACTCTAGGATTCTATTTACACATTTTAGTTGTCAGCAGCCCCAGTGTTATCGCAAGCCTTGCCCTTCTCTCTTTCACAGACGGAGTATCCCCAGACTGGGAGGCGTTCACCCATGCAGCAGATACTTGCTATGTATCAGGCTTTGTGCTGGGCATTGGGGGTGCGGTGATGACCCCAAAGAGGGCCCTGCCTTCTTGAAGGTTGTTTCCTACTGGGGTAGCACACAATGCAACTGAGAGCAAGTTGCATTGATGTGAGAGGGGACATTTAAGATGAGAAAATGCCAGCAATGGGATGATCTGGAGGAAAGATCCTCCCATGAAGAGGTGGGACAGCAAAGTGCCAAGGCCTCAGGGAGGGATGGGCTTGTCGTTTTGGAGAATGACTAGGATAAAGTTCAAGTGGGGAGGGGATTTTTTTCTAGCATTGCCTTAAAATTTGACTTTTAGAATTAGGATTTTATTCTGAGTCCCAGGGGAACCTCTGAGGTGTCTTCATCACTACAGCTTCCACTGTTGTGTGTGACACCATTGTCTTTTGCTTGGCACCAGCAAGCTTCCTTGTTTTTTTTTGTTTTGTTTTGTTTTGTGTTTTTGCTGCCTACCACTCTTCAGTCGACAAGTGGAATGATCTGAAAAATAAAGATACCAATTGGGTTTTGTCAGTTTAATACTCCCCTGTTACTTCCAAAATCTTTAAAGTAAAACCCAGACTCTGTTGCCCTCATCCCCATCCCTGGAGTGGTCTACTCTTGCCATACTGGACCCTTGCTGGTCCTTGGATGCTCCAAACTTCTTCCTGTCTTGGGCTTTTGACCAAATTACTTTTTCGGAGACCAGCTTTTTAACTTTTCAGTTCTGGCTTTGGTTTTCCCTCTTCTAGAGGTTATTTTCTACCTACTGCAGTAGCATAAGTGCTCCTGGTAATTCTTTCTCACCCTTTTTATACAGTTTCCTTCAAAGATTTCTTGTTACAGTTTTGCAGTTACTTTTTGTTACAAGTTTATTGTCTCTCCAACAATAAGTGAGCCTCTTCTTCACCTCATACAGGGCCTGTTACAGCTCAGTAAATGTTGAATGAATGAATGAACAAATGACTGTCAGTTGCTCTCAGGCCCTTAGCAGCAGGTGGGCATATTTGTGCAGCACAGGTGACTTCTAATGTGCTTCTTCTACCCAGGAAAAGCTAACCGATGGTTTGGGGTTGCTCCTCCCAAGTCTGGAAAAATGAACATGAACATCCTTCACCAAGAAGAGCTTATTGCTCAGAAGAAACGGGAAATTGAAGCCAAAATGGAGCAGAAAGCCAAGCAGAATCAAGTGGTCAGCCCTCAATCCCCATATCTTGGCGAGTAAGTGCTTCCTGAGGTCTTAAAGGGTTACTTGCAGAGGGTTTTGCTTATGAGAGCAGTGTGCCTGCACCTGACGATGCAAGGAGTGACATTCTGCATGAAACTCATTGTGGCGGGAGAGGAGCAAGGGTTATGTGGGCCCAGAGGATAGCCTGACAGCTTCCTCGCTCAGCAATTACTTAATGCCAGTCAGGTATGGCCCCTGGACTGGAAGTACAGTGCACAGCAAAAACCCAGACTCATTTTTCATTTTTCCCCATATGGGATTTATCGTTATTACCAAAGAGGGTGCCAGTCCTACTCCCAAGAGTTGCTGGTGCTTAATATGAGGCATTGTGTTCCTAGATGCAGTGGCCACTGTAGTTGCACTTCTGAGACTTACAGCAGAGGCTCTGTGTTTTGAAGACCCAAGCAGAGCCAGCCTGTTGAAGCAAGGAAAGGCCTGCCAAGCAGAGGGCTCCTGAATCAGGCAGCCTGAACTGATCACAGGGCCAAAGGGCCTATTCCAGAGCTAGGCAGTAGGAAGCTCATCAAGTTTCCTTCTCCCTGTTGTCAGAAATTCTGAGGGATTAGAGCAACATGAATTTCAGACTAGAGCCTGAATCATAGAACATTAGTATTCCACAAAGTTGTGTCTCAGCTCTCCTCTTTTCTAAATGTCTGTGTCTTCTGGACAGAAGATACTAGGTCTCCAAGGGCTGTGGAATGTGGGTTGGACATGAGTGATCTACTAGTTGGGGGCTCTTGCCCCTGTGTTGTGCAAGCATTTGGCACCAGCATGGTAGAGTCACTTCCCAGGTGGTCTTGTGAGGTTGTTGGAGTCCAACATCAGGAATAAACTACTGAAGGGGAACATCAGGTGGAGGAGTGTATGGCACAGGTAACTTTGGGAATAACTCTTGTCTCTGCTGTCAAAGCGTAGAACTCCAAATTTTAGAATTTCCTGATGAGGAATAATAGGAAGCATTTAATAATAATAATAATAATAGTAGGAAGCATTTAATAGGAATAATAATAGGAAGCATTTAAATCACCTTGAGATAAACATTTTGGTATATTCCCACCCTGTGTCTTTGTTTCACCAAGTTTTTATCAATTTTGTTAGCTGCTTCTCCCCTATTTAGAGCCTTCATAGTTTTATTCATTTTTATTGAGCTGTAATTCATATGCCATAAAACTCACCTTTCAAACTACAGAAGTTAGTGGTTTTTTTTTAAAGGTTTATTTATTTATGTATACAAGAACTGGGGTGTAGGCCAGAGGTGTGGCGGAGGGAGAGATTTCACCAGAGAGAATGGGGAGCAGAACAGGTAGATCTACTGAAATACACTGCTGAGGGGAGCAGCGGGCAAGACAGGAGAGGTCTGCTGCACCATGTGGTTAGCTCCCTGGATCGAACTCATGCTGCAGTGGCTGGTGATAGCTAGATAGCGCTGTGTCTTTAACTCTTGTGCCACCAGGGAGGCCCACAAGTTAGTGGTTTTTACTACATAGCACCATGTTAACATATTTACTACATAGCGTCATGTTAGCTGCTTCTAATTCCAGAACATGTCATCACCTCCAGAAGAAACCTATCCCCTTCTTTCAGCCCACCATTAATTTCTTTCTGTCTCTGGATTGCCTGCTCTAAATATTTCATATGATAAGTAGCTTTTGAAGGTTCTTCTACTCTCTGTCATGTGTCAAACTTCATTTCTTTTTATGGTTGAATAATACTCCATATATATGGATGGACTACATTTTATATATTTATCAAGAGCCAGCATCTCTATAACATGTTCTGCTCTTTGTTAGGGGTGGTTTTCAAGTGGAATTCATTTGCTGACTACCGCCCAACGTGCTTTTTTTTCTTTTAAGGTTTATTTATTTATATAAGCACTGGGTACAGTCAGAAGCATGGGAGGGTGAGAGAATTCACCAGAGCCAGAGCTGGCAACAGAACAGGCAGATTGATGAAATACACTGCTGAGGGGAGCAGCGGGCGCGGCAGGAGAGGTCTGCGTGCCATGTGGGACCCTCGCTGGTGGCCGGCAATTGAACCGGTGCTGCAGAGGCTGTGGGCAGCTTCGCAGCTGAGCACTCAACCGCTGCACCACCAGAGGGGAGGCCCCCAAGGTGCTTTCTTGTCTATCATTGTCCCTACCTTCTGTCTCCCAAGGGAGCTACATGGTGTGAGGATGGAGCCAGAATTTTCAGAAAGCCCTGCTGGTTTAATGTCAAGCAGGTTATCCATATAACCTTTTCTTTCACATGAAAAACTTTAAAAATTTAAAGATAGTCAATCTATGTAGTAGGAAGTCTGGGAAGTAGAAAACAAAACAAGGAAAATCCTAAATCAGATATAACCCTGAAATGCAGCGGCAGTGCTGGTTGCATGTTGGGTTTTCCTAACAATTTTTAATTCAAATGTATTTTGTCATAAGTAGGACATTGTTTATATTCTGCCTTTCATTTTTCATTTAGTAATTTACTTGATTGCTTTATCTATAAAATTTTAACTCTTTGGAATGGCACCATCTGCCTTACAGACATCCCATAATTCATTTAACCACTGCCCTTTGCCCATTGTTTAGGTCATTTCCATTTTTGGTTCACTAGCACAGATTTTTAGAAAGATGAATCTTTTTTTATATATATATATATATATTTTAAAGATTTATTTATATAAGAACCGCGGTACAGGCCAGATGTGTGGGAGGGTGAGAGGATTCACCAGAGACAGAATAGGGAACAGAACAGGCAGACTGACTGAAATACACTGCTGAGGGGAGCAGTGGGCGAGACAGGAGAGGTCTGCCACGCCATGTGGGCTGCTCTGCGGCCAGCGGGGATCGAACAGATACTGCAAAGGCTGCGGACAGCTTCCCAGCACTGAGCTTAACTGCCTGTGCCAC